ACAATATTTTTGGTTCACACTATATATAATAAAAATTTTAATTTTTTTTTTTTAAAAAAAATTAGCGAAGATAATTGGTTACGAATATAATAGAGGTAGTAAATTATAGCAAATCACGGATTGATAAGACAATATTTTATTTTTCAATATTGATAGATGTGGAATTACTGTATTTTATTTTCAAACTTTTCGATAATGCCAATTACATACTGTATATTAATCTGTGATTATAGTATAACGTTGTACGTATAATGAGATAAAAAAACATTGCAGTATATTCGGGAATGTTCGGTCAGGTCATGATCGTGTAACAGGATAAAACGGAGATTTGCGCAATTGCACATCAGTCACGCTATTCGAAGAAAATTAGCTGATAATCTAACGCCACCTGTTCGCATGTCAAAACAATAACGATTGACACATCATCGGAAAATAAAAAAATATATAAATCACCGTCCCGAATCTTCGTTGGGACATGCTTCACAATTGGACATGTCCGCCGCACCAAATTCGTCGCAGTCCCCCTCTTATCTATACACGTTGCTGATACGGCAAAGATCCCTGCGCAACGTAAATCGCGATGTCAAATATCGTGGTCTAAAAATCAAAACATACTCATTATACGCGTTGATAACCCTGGGAATTGGTTATGAGGTTATAAAAGGCTTTGAAAACACATTTGCCGATATATCACTGTGGAAGCGATTACAAGACAGACCATACCTGGCCCCTCATCATCGTGATTGGAAGGGTAATCAGCGGGGGGATATTGTTTTGGTATTATAAAGGATGGGAAAAAAACAAAGACTTTCTGAAATGTTGACATTTTAAAAACAAAATGTACATAGTGTTTGTATAATGAAAATATCAATTTATATGGATATCACGTGATTTTAGAATTATAATTCTTATAAACCATCAGTCCTAGTTTACGCTTTATTATAAAATTTTTAAAAAAGTTTTTTCTTGTATGGCTGTGATGCATAAAATGCTAGCTTTAATGGATGATTTTTATATGGAAAATCAAATTCTTTGTAATAACAACTGACCCTACAAGTTTATTGTTGGCGTCAATACGAAACGCATTAAATGTTTCTGATATAACCTAGCAACTGAGAATCGACAAGTCCCTCTGCTTGACTAATTGCTAAAATAATGGTCACGTAAAATATCTTGTGTGAAAATATTGGAATGAATTCGACGGATCCACGTGCATTTATTATCAATGTCAGCTAAAGAAATCTGGTCGACTTTCTTGGTGAAAGGCGTTCATTTGAAACAGAAATTTTATGTACGTTGTGGCAGATTGCCGGTTATTAAATTGACTTTCTAAAATCGACATTTGTTCCGATCATTCCAGATCTTTCTTCAAGTGGCTTGATTTGAAATATGTTGAATTTTTAACTTCTGGAATTTTTTCACGAGATTCCATCCCATGCTGTGGTTGTGTTTTACTCAAACTGATTTTTTTGAAAGTTTTCATTAAGAAATGCTCCTCAGTGAAAAAAAAATCTAATTATGCGTCATGCAATCATCTTTCTTTCTCGACGGTCCTTCCATGATGTGCTTTTTTGCAATGGAACAGTTTTTTCAGTATTTCATTGAAATAGCAGGGCTCATTTCTTATTCGGAACCGTTGTCGATAATTAGATCGTTGTTGCACTATGCATCAATCTCATCTTCGAGGCTTTACAAAACAGCTCATTTGATTCACTCCGACAAGCTTTCACCTTACCACCACTCTGTCAGCTGAAACCGTTTGACATTTTCCTTTTTTTCGTCATTTCTAACCAATTTCATTGGCAGAAAGTCATCCACTTTGTCACGTGATACCTGCCATTTTTATGGGAATATACTTAGCGATTTAAAAATGCATATTTTTCACATGCAAAATTCTAGGACATTGTAGTCTCTTCAGCAGCTATACTTAACGGGTTGATATCATCCACACAGCCTTATGTTTAAACGATAACCTTTAATACAGTAGCTCGTCATTTCACATTTCAGGAAATTCTACGTGCAGCTCATTATTAGAGTGGGGCTGCATAAATGATGAATAGGCTTATGTTATTCGTACAATCACAACACATGAGTTGGTTTCACTTTTGCAGTTCGGTTCTAACCACATTTTATTTGATAAGAGATTGAAACCATGCCATGTTACTAGTCAAATGAAATCTTAGAACACTACCATATCGATCCTTAATATTGCCTTTTAACTGACAAAACCAAAACAAAATTTTGAGAACATTCCAAAATAAATAGCTCTCCTCGTTCAGGCGCTTAATGTACAGTATAAGGACGCAAATTTGAGCTTCTCCTTATCTTTTCAAAGAAGCGATCAAGTATCCGTATATATACTGTAAAACACATTACTAAATTAAGGGTCATGATGATAGTTTTTCGTTTCTTCAATTTTATTTATCAATCCATTCATTTTAAAAAGAGATTGAGTTAGAATTCCTTGAGGAAAAACCCAAACCTGATTTGCGAGAAACACCATGTCATTTTATATGAGAACAATTACCTAAACATTAGAGAAATTCTACGCGCTTTCGGAATGAGCTGACCCTTAAACTTGTGTTCTGACTGTTCCACAGGAATTTCGTGGGAAAATTTATACCGAATTGTGTCGCTGAAATCATTCACATCAGTAAATAAAACATTGCGAGATGAATAAATCAAGGACATCTATAATTTGATACCGTTGAATATAAAGACACCCCGGTTCTAGCAGCGCGGTAAAATGACACCAAGGATTGTCTTGATGACGAAGAAACATTACAGCCGATGACATGAGGCATATTCCCACCACAATGTTTCCAGAATACTACAGAATTTATTTATTTGGTTTTTTTTTTTTTTTTAAAAAAAAAAAAAAATTCTATTTAATCAAACATTGAACTAGAGAGGTCCGAAAAAGCAGAATGTACAACCTCAACATGATCAACATGCTCTCTAATCCCGCCACACTCTGATAACTCCAAAATATGTGTAGGTAACCAATGAATATTTTCGGGAAAAAGGCTGTAAACTTTTTGGTGGAAAACCTCCATTATCCTATCTTCATCTTCGCCCCAGTGTGAAGCTTGGCATTCTCGATAACCATGTATGACACCGTCAAAATGTCCATCTTGATAAATCACCTGTTTACCAAGAATCCTCTTCAGCTTTTTCAAGGATTGATCCGAGAGAAATTTTTGTTCGGAAGGCGTAAAATGATTGGGAAGAATGATGAAATCATTTAATGAGAAATCGGTGGGCGAACCTATTTGAGAATAATCGTAATATTGGATGGATTCGAGGGGATTTTTGACAATTCGTTGGGTCGAATAATGACGAGATGGAGATAAGCATCTGGGGGAACGTGAAAAGCAACGTTTAGGTTCAAGGTTACTACAGCAATGATCGGATAGTCGTAGCCTTTGTGCTGTTGGTGAAACGTATCGATATTGCGCAATCTTTTTAGAAATTCGAGGGTTTCTTAAAACGGATAACATCGGGACAAATACTTTATAATGCATCTCAGTTTCATGAGAAAAAAAAAAATTTTTTTATATATACCGTACATGCTGACGTGGTGACCTGATTGGCTTAAACATTGTATAAAGATAAGGATTACTTTATACCGTACAAGAAATCGAAAGTCGGTATATTTCAGTTGAATCAAAATATTGAAAAACATACATGAAATTTAAGAATGAAATTTTTACTGTAATAAAATTTTAAATATGCCATTGTTTTCTTTCATCTATTTTTTCGATGAATTTAAAACTTTAACTAATTATTGTATGCTATAAATTAAATATGTTTCGCTAAATAACTTTAATTCATTAATTCATGTATCAAAAGTATAATATAATATACAGCATCAAATATCATTTTTTAAAAAAGTTTTCTAAATCTTAAATTATATAATCAAAAGTTTATCTATTTTAACATTAAATGGATTCTGAATTTTTCATTTATATTAAAATCCGAATCAAATATTCAAACCACGTTATAAAAATTATTTGTTATTTATTCAACTTTTAAAACATAAAAAGTTTAACATTCAATGGTAGTAAACTTAAAAATTTCTTAACTTTTATAATCTTATTATTATTAAGTTATTTTATTTTTGAAACCCTTGATTAGTTTGATATACTATATGTGTTTTATACATTTGTATACTATATATTATAAAATGTTTCATTAAAGATAAATTTCTTTAACTTGCTTATCTATATCAAAATTTTAAATAAACTTCAAGAGTGATTTATTACTTTGTTAATAATTTAGGTGAAAACCTTTTCAACTACTAATATTATTGCCTATAGGTAAAGATGGGTCCCTAAAGGGGGAGGCAGGGACATAAGTCAAATGTCCCTCACTAGGAAACTTTAAAATTTTTAAA